AGTGCCGGATACATACGAGGCCAGAGAGGTACATTTACTTTACTTTACTATTCTTTTTTTTCCCACTTACTAAAATCACTGGAATTTTATGTACAATTTTTATTTATATTTTACATTTTTGACATTTGTATTAAATATAATTATATATATAATATTAATATTCACATTATATTTGTTTGATAAATATATACAAATTTATATGAGTACATAAGTTTATACTAATACAAATTATGTTATATAATATGTTATGAATATATTTTAATTGGAAAAAATATATGTAATATAATTTCTATACAATTTCAATTTGTATTACACATAATAACAACACATATATGAAAATATGCATATTTATGTTTAATATAAATGTATATTCACTTACTGTAAAAATGTATTTGACTTTTTTTGACTGGAATATAAAACGAGTAAAAAAAAAAAATCATGAATGTGAATTTGGCTTCTTATTAAAAAGCATGGTACTGCATGTGTGTTAATGTGTATATGTTTGGGATTTCATATGTCATGTGTAGAGCATAGTGAAAGACTTCGCTGCCCGCTGTGGAGAAATCTTAAAAGAGGCCATGAAATGGGCGCCATCGGTCACCAAATCTCACCTACAGGTTTGGCCTCCCATGAAAAGCAATAGATATTTAACTTATTATCCCCTGCAACGATTTTCAACAGCATCAATGTATTTTCCACAGGAATACCTGAATAAGCATCAGAACTGGGTGTCGGGTCTGTCTCAGCACACGGGTCTGGCGATGGCCACTGAAAGCATCCTGCACTTTGCTGGATACAACCGTCAGAGCACCAGTCTGGGTGTAAGATGACCAGCTTCTGTTGAGCTTCAGTTCATGCTGAAGGGAGATATTGACTAGTTTCTTAGTGATAATAAGCAATCAGGAAATTTGATGAAAGTTAGTATGTTCTCTGTCATTTCAGACCAGTGTTATTTTAGTATTTTTGAGATACAGTTATAGTTTTATTAATATTTTGAACTACAATTTCTTTTTATGTTTTCCGTTTTCATTTTAATTTTGGTTATAATTTTATTAATTTTGTTTTGGGTTTTTTTTATTTGTTTTTTTTCTATATATCTTTATAGTTTATGTTGTTTTTATTCATTTGTATTTCAGTTTTAGCTTTATTTTAGTATATCTAATTAAACTAAATGAAAAATTTGCCTTGGCAACTAGCTTAAATAAAATACTATAAAAAAAAAAAA